TGTCACCAACCTTTTGGACCACCAAACTCATCATTTTAAATCCCGCGGACCAGAGACCCTGGGAAAAATCCCCAAAAAACGTCCGCAGGAAAATCCCCCACCCCGTTTTCCTACCGATCGATCATTCTTTATTTGGGATCGCAGGATACCGTCTCCGGCTCTGTTCTCAGTGTGAGAGAGAGAGACTTTTGGCTTCATGCAAGGAAAGCAGCAAAAGTTTTTCTTTCTCTCCCCCAAACTCCACCAGAATGGCGCAGCCTCTTGGAGCAGGATGCCCTGCAGGGTCCCAAAGGCTCATTTTTGGCGGAGTTTGGGGGAGAGAAAGAAAGACTTTTGCTTCTTTCCTTGCGTGCGGCCAAAAGCGGAAGAAGAAAGAAGCAGAAAGAAGCAGCCCGGTGGTCAGGCGAGGCACCTGGGGTGAATGGGGCACCTCCCTCCACCCTTTCCCCCCTCCTCTCACTACCTCATGTTGTTTGCAGTGCAGGAGATGTGAGCGACACAGCCTTGTGTTCCCGCGTAGCCTGGATTAATTGCTTTGGGGTGACATTTCTCTGTGGACCACCAAAATTTTCTCATGGACCACCAGTGGTCCCCGGCCCACTGGTTGGCGACCATTGCTTTAAACCATCTTTTCTTCACTTTAAGACGATTCAGAACTGGACTTATCTATGTCATTACAGGAGGACAGGTATTAATTACTCTTCCTTTCCCCTCCTGTCACGATTGTTTCCATTTTATCTTCCAGAAGACAGGACAATGAAAGAGACAATCGAAAAGGAAGATGCTTCCAAGAAGACCGTGTCCTCTGAGGTTGCCGTGATTGAAAGTGGGTACCTGTTGGACATGTTGTGATCAGGGAGGAAGGGAGACAAGAAAAAGGAGCACCTTAGGTGTTCCGCTCCGAAACCAGCTTCCCACATTGCATCAAGCCATGATTTGCTTTCCTGTGGCTTCTGAGTTTATTACACCACAAATATTGCTGGTTGCAGCTCCATCCAATTGACCAGCAGAGGTAGTCCTAATGTCAGCATTCCAGCTAACCAACTCCAAACTAATAAACTCCGAGGCAAATATTTCCTCAAAATTCCAATGTCAGCCTTCTAAAAAAACCTCAACTCCAATCAATAACTCCAAGACTGACATGTTCTCAAAGTTTCCTTTTGTTAGAGTAGCTATACTGCCACATCTGGGAAATCCTGAATCTGAAAGTTCCGGGTTTTCCCTTCCATAAGTAAAAAATTACAAATCCACCCCCTGCACACTTCATTGCACCACACGCCCCAATAGCCATTTGCCCCAACTTGAGACATCCCCTCAACCCTTCCTCACCCAGGTGCAGAAATAACATGACCTTGACTTAGAAGAAGGATGCTATTCTGTCTAACCACATACGCTCCACGAAATTCCTCCCTCCCGTTTTCCCAGGCTCAAGAATGTGGCAGTGTGGAAGCGTCTGGTGCTAATATGGCTTCCAAAGCTGACCTCCATTTTATGAGAATTGTCATACTGGCACATCTGGGACAACCCAAATCTGATCGTTCCGGGTTTTCCCTTCCCAATAGAAATGCAGAGAAGTTTGGAAAGGCCAGAAAATGGGCCTCCCAGAAGTTCGGGAAGGCCGAAAAATGGGCCTCCCGGAAGTTCGGGAAGGCCGAAAGATGGGCCTCCCGGAAGTTCGGAAAGGCCGGAAACAGGCCCATTTCCGGCTTCCAGTGAGCCTCCGGAGCCCAGGGAGGCCATTTTTGCCCTCCTGGAGGCTTGAGAAAAGCCTCTGGAACCAGGAGAGGGCAAAACATTTCCCCCGGCTGTGGTGCAGGAGGCCGACTAGGCCACACCCACTGTGGCCACGCCCATCCAGCAACCAGGCAGAGAACCCTTTGCTAAAATTTTTGAAGCCCACCCCTGGGCGCAAAGAGTCTGCATGCGCCCTCCCGCACCCTGTTTTGGCTGCCAGAAGTACCGCAGGCCACTCCTTTGCTATTTCCAGGCCGGCCCTGTGGGCCAGATTTAAGCACCCCACAGGTCAGATTCAGCCCGCCGAGCCTTGAATTTGACAGCCCTGGCCTCTGGAGATTTTCAGTCATCCAGGTGATGATTCTCTCAAAGGTGCTTTTTTTTTCAAGAGGCAACTTGACCTTTCTGGTTTTTCGTTGGAAGATGTTTCGCTTCTTCAGCTCTGACTGAAAGGATAGGGAATGGAAGGATTTATACTCTTGGCCAAGGGTCCTCAAACGTGGCATGTTTAAGACTTGTGGACTTCAACTCCCAGAATTCCTGAGTTAACATGATTGGAGGAGGAAGTTAGCTCGGGAATTCTGGGAGTTGAAGTCCACAAGTCTTAAAGCTGTCAAGTGGGAAGATCCCCACTCTTTGCAGGCATAGGAGAACAAACCCATCAGGACAAGATTCAGCCGTCCATCTGCATGTAAAGGACAGAGGCTACTCTTTTGAAGGCAGCAAATTTTGGACAGAGAGGACCGCTGGTTTGAAAGAGGGGTCAAAAAGGCCATTGAGGTCAAAATTGAACAGCCTTTTCTCAAGGGGGGAGGGGATATGACATCATCTATCTCCAGTCTACAAAGCAGTCCTTTCAGCAGTTCCAAGGAGGCTCCACACCCATTTGCACCACTCAGGTGACCCTGAGCACACAGATAAACCTCCAAGTGGCCTCAACGACCCTCTAAAACAGTGGTCCCCAGCCTTTTTTGTACCAGGGACCAGTTTCACAATTATTCATTCTTTGCGGCCCGGTACAAAATGATCCACGGACCGGTACCGGCATCAGCACGCACGACCAAGGCAAGGCGAGCCGAGCGACCGGCCAGCCAGCCGTCCCCCGCTTCTCCCCGCCACCTTCAACTCCTCTTTTGTACCTTCTTGCGGTCGATGGGCTTTTCAGGCTCTTTCTTAATCTCCTGAGTAACGCGAGACTCCACCGCCATCGGGACGGCTCTTCGTTCGAAGCTGCCGCCCCCCCCTTTGACGAAACTAAGGCGCGAGGATTCCTTCAGCACCCAAACGCTGCTTTCCAACCGACGACCGACAAGCTCACCCGGAAGCACTTTCTCAAGCTCCGTCGAAACAAGATGGCGGGGCCCAAGCAAAGTAGGCCCTACTTTCATTCTTTGCGGACCGGTACAAAATGATCCACGAACCGGTACCGGTCCGGGGCCCGGTGGTTGGGGACCCCTGCTCTAAAAGGATGCAAATGACCAGCTGTCTTTGAGGAATATAAATCCTTTCATTCCCCATCATCCAGTCCGAACCGAAGAAGCTTCTTGGAGGAGAAGCGAAACGTCTTCAGAAGGAAAACCAGAAAGTCCAGTTGCCTCTTTGATAAAAAAAAAAAGCACCTTTGGGGTTTCCTGCCAGAAGTGAATTTGGGGCTGAAGTTTGTGTGTGTGTGTGTGTGTGTTTGTTTTGTGATTCCAGGCAGGGATGAGTTGCAGGATTATCAGGATGGAAAACTCTGTGAGACACCCCGCCGAGAGAGCAACAGGACGGATGCAGACAAGTGTTGTGAACAGCTGGCTGATGCCAAGATCCAAGAACTGGAAGAAACAGCTGACGAAAGAAAAGACGCAGCCGCAAGTAATCTCTTTTTGCTTCTCTGTGGCTGTTTGTTAATCGGAATTGGTTTTAACTAGTTGCCAGGGTTTCCTTTTTTTTCCTGGGGAACAAACACCTCGTTTTCCTTTCAGCTATTACCCACATGCAGTTCCTTCATTTTCTCCCTTTTCTCAACTGCTAAGGACCGCCTATAGTGGATAGCATGCTCTACTCTACAGCAGAGGTAGAGAACTAAAGGCCCTTTTGTGACTTGTGGACTTCAAACTCCCAGAATTCCTGAGCCAGAATTCCACAAGTCATAAAGGGGCCATAGTTATCCACTTCTGCTCTGTATAGAGCAATGATGGCTTAACCTTTTTGGGTTCCTGTGCCAAAAAATTTTTGGGCGCTTCTGCGCCAACACCCAGAAAACAATGTGCATGCCCCCCCAAGCCCTCTGCGCATGCACGCATGATGCCCCTGTTCCCCCTTACCTGCATTGCACCTCCCAGACGATTTTCGGCCCATTTGAAGCCTTTTCAGCCTGCAAGAGACTTGAAGGAAGCCCCTGCAGGCTTTGCAGGCCAAAAAACGGGCCCATTTCGTCACTTCTGGTATTACCGGAAGTGATGAAACGGGCCTATTTTTCAGCCTGCAGACGCTTCCCTCAAGCCTCTGGCAGGCTGAAAAAGGCCTGAAAATCAGTAAGGAGGCACGTGCATGCTCAGCGAGGTAAGTTTGCCTGTGGCTCGCCATCATGGGTATAGAGCTATATATCACTTTTTGTGATTGGATGATATCCTTGTTCAATCTCTGTCTGTCTCTCTCTCTTTCTCTCTCTCCCTTGTGTGTGTCTCTCTCTCTCACACTCAGAGAGAGAGAGAGAGAGAGAGAGACTAGAAGACATTGGATAATCTGTAAAATCACAATTGCAAGGCTGGTCTGGTCTCCGATCTGCTCAGTGTCATCAACGAATGAACGAGTGATGGGAAGGATTCGGGAATCGTTTTTTGGGGGGGGAGGTGTAACAGTTTTATTTTATCAATCTGGAGAAATAATGCAACAACAGGTTCAAGACCTGGAAGGAATTTTTATTGAGAACGCGTGTTCCTTCAAAGAACAAAGCAACTGGATGCTCCTTGGTGCCACGTGCATCACTGAGAAAAGAAAACCCTTTTAATGTTCGGGGGGTTTTTGTAGCGCGTTTGGAAGGAGATCGTCCAATAAGAAGCAAGGATCTCGAATTGAAGAATTGAATGCAGGATTGATCTTGTGGCTAGATCTTGTGGATAAATTCGGTGCATTATCCAATTCTTGGATAATGGAAGACAGCTAGAGACATGCAAAGAAGGATCATCCTAAATCATGACCGTGGATAAAGCTTAAAAATTAATCAGTGGTTCTCAACTGTTGACACTTTTAAGATGGGTAGATTTCAACTCCCGGAATTCCCCAGCCAGCCATGATGGCTGGGGAATTCTGGGAGTTGAAGTCCACACATCTTAAAAAGTGTCAGAGGTTTTAGAAACAGCAGATTAGATTATGTAGCTCAGAGCTGATGTTAACGTTCCAAGGTCTCATCTGTCTTAAGGGTGGATAATGCTGAGGTTGGCCAGGTTTTGAAATCTTCAAGATACACTTATAGAGATCCCAGAATTCCCCTTTGCTGAGGGAACCTCGACCCTCAGAAGTCCAAACCAATATGCTCAAGAGTGAGAGACAACTGGAAATTTCATTTGAACCTCTGGAGGCTCAAAACATGCGGCTTGAGTTCAACAAATTAGCTACCAAGCCAAGTCAAGATGTCGAAGAAAAGCTGAAGAAAACCTGGAAGCAAGGAATTTTGTTTTTCGTTTTCTCCCCTCTGCGGGGAACCTTGGCCGTCTTCCACATGGGAGAATTCAGCTGTGACCTTCAGCATACACATTTCGGCCGGCGTAAATGTAAAAAGAAAGACCGATTCCCAGGATCTCGAAGGCGATCATGAGGAAGGACGCGAGGAAAATGGCGTCCGCCACACTCTTCAACCACTTTTGCACCCGCGTATCGCATCCCTGTTTTTTCACCGGCCAGTCACTCACCACAGATTTATGTGAGACGGTGTTCAACTGGCAGACGCCCAGCATTGGTTGGAAGTTGTTTGGGTGGTTGCTGCAAGAACATGGGTAGGTTCCCATTTTATTCTGGAAAAAGGTGTTGTTTTTCCAATTTTCCGGCCCAGTCCAGCCACAGCAAGACATTCGGGCCTGGACATAATCCAGAGTTAACCTTTTGTGCTGGTTGGCTTGGTCCATTGGGTTATAGTTTTGGATGAGGCTGAGGATGGTCTTGTTGAGCTCGTCTTCCATCTTCTGCTGTTTGAAGTACACGAACAAGCCCGGGAAAAAGTGGAAGATGATAAGGACGATCAGGAGCGGAATGTAGGCCATCAAAGCGAATTTTACTCCAAAGTGATAGACTCCGAGGCAGCCCCATAAGCCGAGAAACATGGCCAAAGCCCCAATCGCGATGAAAATGTACAGCAGGCTTTGGAAGGAGTCGAAAACAGACTGCAGGATGGAGATGTAGGCGCTCTTGGTGATCAAAACCCAGAGGCCTAAACTGAACATTGCAGCTCCCACGAGAAACAGAAGGACATTGAAGAAGCAGAACAAGCACTTGAGGCACTTGAGGCAGCAATTCGCCATCGTTGCTTTTCAGAACTCAGAACCGTCAGCATCAAAGGAAAGAAACACGGCGACCAAACAGAATGGCCTGGCTGTGTCTCCGGGTGGGTCTCAACCATAGAAAAGCCACCCTAGACAATGACAATGACATTGTCTCTCGAGGGCACTCTAGCCAGATCCGGTCTTTATGATCCATCCTTTAGACTTGTGCGGAAGCCTGTATGGCTGTTGGCTTCAGGAATGGCTCTAGCAGAAGGCTAGTATCTAAAGCAGGGTTGGAGAACGATGGGCCTTTTATGATTTGCGAACCTCAACTCCCATGCTGGCTCCAGTATTCTGGGAGTTGAAGTCCACAAGTCATAAAGGGGCCATCATTCCCCATGCCAGCTGAGGAATTCTGGGAGATGAAGTCCACAGGTTATAAAGGGGCCATCATTCCCCATGCCAGTTTAGGAATTCTGGGAGTTGAAGTCCACAAGTCATAAAGGGGTCATCATTCCCCATGTCAGCTCAGGAATTCTGGGAGTTGAAGTCCACAGGTCATAAAGGGGCCATCATTCTCCCATGCCAGCTCAGGAATTCTGGGATTGAAGTCCACAAGTCACAAAGGGGCCATCATTCTCCATGCCAGCTCAGGAATTCTGGGAGTTGAAGTCCACAGGTCATAAAGGGGCCATGGTTCCACAAAGTGGCTCAGGAATTCTGGGAATTGAAGTCTATAGGCCACAAAAGGCCCATCATGGCTCCCCATCTCTGATTTACAGCTACATAATGGCATCCTATGCTTTTCAGTTTCTTACTTCAGTCAAAATGTTTTCCCAGGTAGTTGCACACTGTTAAAGTTCCTAATTCAGCTTTAAGTCTCTCTAGTGAGGTTTTCTGGATGCCTTTGGTACTTAGCATTTGGTTTGCGAATTCCTTAAGGCATCGCAGTTGAGCAGTGGACAAAAGTAGTTAAAAACAAACACTATGAAATTGAAATCTGGGCTTTTACGATATATAATCGCAATTCGAGGTCATTAAAAATGCAAACGTGTCATTATTCTCTCTCTCTACATACACACACACACCCCCCACTCCTGGAATTAGGCTTGTCCTGATCCTGCTTGGCTTTTTGTAAGACATTAAAAAAAAGGTCATCCAGCCTGCATCCCTCACAGTATGGATGAGCCTGTTTGTTGGTGGAATTGAATGTAATACAGTATGTTTCTCAACTGTGTCCACTTTAAGACGAGTGGACTTCAACTCTTGGCTGGCTGGGGAATTCTGGGAGTTGAAGTCCAGGGATGTCTCAAGTTGGGATGGATGGTGATTGGACCATGTCATGGTACAGGGGTTGAGTTTTGACTTTTGAATTACTGAGGGAAAACTGGAACTTTCAGATTTGGGTTTCCCAGATGTGCCAGTATGACAACTCTAATAAAAAGAAACTTTGAGAAAATGCCTGTCTCAGGAGCTTTTTATTGGAGTTTGGTTTTACTGGAACACTGACCCATGGTGGTTTAATTACTTTATTGTCATTGCACCTCGTACAATCAAACGCCATCTTCAGTGCACATCATGACCATGAAAATAAACACAAACACACATCCTTCACCCTCCACACATTGAACCGAAAACCCCCGACACCGCACCAATACTGCACTACACAGTAGAATTCAACAGAGCAACTGCCCTGGGATAGAAGCTGTTTTTCAGCCTATTTGTCTCTGTTTTTATTCTCCTGTACCGTCTGCTGGATGGTAATAGTTTAAAAAAAAAAGGGTGCCCAGGATGAGATGGATCTTTGAGAATGTTTTGAACTTTCTCAAGGCAGCAGGAGCTATAAAGCTCTTCCAAAGATAGGAGAGGGCAACCCATGATCTTCTGGGCAATGACCTTTACCCTCTGGAATGCTTTCCTATCTGCCACTGTGCAATTGGCAAACCATACAGAGGCGCAGTAAGTTAAAACACTCTCTATGGTGCAGCGGTAAAAGGTCACCAGCAGTTTTTCATTCGGTTGTTGTTTTCTGAGAAGCCTCAGGTAGTATAATCTCTGCTGGGCCCTTTTGACCAGGGCTGCAATGTGAGCGCCCCAGGTCAAGTCCTCTTTGGACTGAAATGTGAAAAGGCTATTACAGACGATTTTAGACATTCTCATAACATACCAAAGGAGGCAGCTGGGATCCTGGGGGAGCCATGGATCACTACCCCTGTAGGAAGGAGGAAGAGGTGAAGAAAGAGGAACAGGAAGAGAGGATGCTGTGCTGGGGTTTTCTTTAGGCTCAGTAAGTTTCCACACAAGCCTTCAAATCCAAGTATATTTCTTACCAATGCAAGATCTCTGACTAACAAAATGGATGAATTAAGGCTACAGATTGCAAAGACTAAATGTTGCTATGTGAATTTGGCAAATCCCATTGGATTTGCTTGTCAGAAGGTCACAAAAGAGGATAGACATTGCAACCGTCCTAAATACGAATCCGTTACCAAACACTCGCATTTTGATCCTGTGACCACGAGGAATCCTGCAACAGTCATAAATCAATTCTGGTTTTTTTTAGTACCGTAGTAACTTTGGTCACTAAACGAACAGTCGAGAACTGCCTGTGCATCAAAAATAAACTGCCCTCATATGAACCCAAACCATGCAAGATCTCTGACTAACAAAATGGATGAACTAAGGCTACAGATTGCAAAGACTTAACTGTTGCTACAGAGAACTCCATAAGGCTACAGATTGCAAAGACTAAATGTCGCTAGGGGAGGACTCCAGAAATTCCACCTTGGGATCCAAAACCCTCCTTTGAAGCTGACCTTTGATCTGATGGCTATCCCAAACACCAAGCAGGAAAGGAAAGAAAAGTCGTACAGCCGACACTTTTATTTTTCAAAGGTTGGAGAAATAGAGCAAGATACACCGATCCAGGTGGAAGAGATTTCCCCTGGGAATTGAATTAAGTCAGCCTTAACCGCGGTGTCTGAATAGTTTGAGAAGGGGGTGAACCAAGACTCAGGTAGGGATATTTGCCTAAGAGGTCCATCATTGTAATCTCCCAACTTGATCCAAATTGCACAGAAGGAAGAGGGGTACGAAAAAAACCAGCGAAAGGGGTGTCTGAAAGACATACGGAGCATCCTAAGTCTTATTATGGCAGTGAATCAAACCTAGAAACCATGATGATGTTCAGAACATTTGTGGAAGAAGCAAGGTAAGTACTTAGAGGAAGAGCTGTTGGGCTAATGCTAATATCTCCCGTGGGGACTGCCAACCACCAACTGGAATAAGGAATGCAGTTCTCTCTTTCCTTGTGGATTCACATCCAGGCTCCAGGCAGGGTTGTCGTCTTCAGTATTGGCACGTTTTGCCTTTGCAAAGGCAGATGGAGAGCGCTATCCCCAGCAGCTCCACGATGGCCACTCCTATGCAGACCCCGAGAAAGATGTTGAAATTTTCCTGCAACCAGCTCTGCACAACCATCCGGCACCCCTGCTTCTTCACAGGCCAGTCGGCCACGGTGGTTGCGTTGGACTGGGTCTCCAGAGCACAGAAGCCTGTCCCTATCGAGGTGCCCTCCGTCTGGTTGCTGCAAGAACATGGATAGAAGCGCATTTTGCTCGTCCAAAGGATTTTGTTGAGTTGCCAGTCTTCGGGTCCGGTCCAGCCGCAGCACGAGAACTTGGATTGAACAAAGTCCAAAGCGGATTCGAGGACCTGGTTGGTGTCATCGGAAGGGTCATATGTCTGGAAGAGATCAATCACCACCTCGGACATTCTGGCTTTCAGTGAGCACTGTTGGAAGTAGATCATCAGACCAGCGGTGACCTGGGCTGAGAGGATGAACAACAGGCAGGTGAGGTAGATGCCAAGGGCACACCGGATGCCACACTGGGCCCCTAAGCATCCCAGGAAGCCAAGCACCATGGTGATGGCACCGACTCCGATGAAGACGTAGACCCCATCTTGGAACGAGGGCGCTGAGTTCTGCAGGATGGGAGCAAAGGACTTTTGGTCAACCAAAATCCAGGTTCCAATCCCAACCATCAGTGCCCCCAAGACAAAGAACAGGTGATTGAAGAAGAAAAACAAGTAGAGGGTGACCTTCTTACAGCAATATCCCACCTTCATCTTCTCCTTTTGAACGGAATCTTGGGACTTCTGTTTAGAACTCGGAACATTCAACTGAAAAAAAAAAAGAGAGAGAGAGAGTCCACAAACACAATGGATGACCTGTACGTCACCATCTGTGGAGCTTCTATCGTAGACTTAAAACCTGAAAACGTCATCCAAAAATCACCACAAAGAATGTTCCACTCCCGGTGGAGTGAGCCGTAATGACAAACAGAGGAGAGATTCCTCAATCAAGCGCTCACGCAGGAGGCTTTCTGTGTCTGCACCCCCTTTGCCAAAACTCTCATCGAAAGGGCATGAGCTCAGACAAACAACGCAACACCATTTCTAAACCGCAGGCCCGCTTCTCATTATTGCAAGACCGTGTGAGGTGTTTTCCCCTTTAGGTTTCCCTTCCTGGGGATCAGGGATCTACCGTCCCTCTCCCTCTCTTGCTCTTTCACCCCAATTGATTTGGGGTTAGGGCATGTTTAGCTGAACGGATCCTCACAAGCAGAGTCTCAATTGCCAAAGTATTGTTACTGTACAACATGGCTGCGGGAGCCATTTTGAATTCGATCCAACTCCTTCCTCCCGTTCAGTGGGCTTCAAGTGGTTTATTCTCCACAGGTTTCCCTTTCTGGGAACCAGGAGCCTTCAAACACCACCACCAAAACTTCTCCACAATCATTGGACAGTATCCGGACAATTACAACTAATTCTCCAGACAACCTGCTACTAAAGCAGGGCTTCTCAAATAATTCCAACTATCCATTGTAAACGGTTCTCAGTTTTACCAAAATTTAACTATCACAATTACATAATTATTATCTATCATAAATAATAATAATAAATTAATTAAAATAAAGAAATAATGAAACATAAAATAAAATTGTTACTGCAGAACGTGGCTGCGGGCGCCATTTTGAATTCGGTCTAACTCCTTCCTCCCGTTCAGTGGGCTACTATAATGAAAAAATAATGAAACAGAAGACAAAAAGGAGGACTAAACCTCTCCGTTTAGGAACCCTTTCAGGACCCAAACCATTATCTGGACCATACATCAGCCTCAGTAACAATGGCAGGTCGCTATCACCCAAGGGCAACTTCTTCCAGAGCTGCATTCAAGGCCCAGGATAAATCCACGGAGCCGAGCAAGCCTTCTAAAGCAGCGGAAAAGGATGCCCGTGAGAGACATCAGGCCTTAGAGAGACGAGTGAGGAAGCATGCCAGGGAGACTGACCAAGCTCCACCTCCGTCTACTACTGCTCAGGACCCGAACCTTCCACCCTGTTCCCTTGATTTA